AGTGCTATCCTTGAATACACAAGTTCAGGGGCAGCACCCAGGCCCTGAGTGCAAGCCCCAAGACTGACACACAAAAAAAAAAGAAGAAGAAAGTGAAGAAAAGGGCTCAGATATAGCAAGAATTAAGTTGTTGGGATCTTAGACTATTTACCAAGGAAGACTTTACTATAAACTGGCTTATCAGAAACATTAACATTCTCCATCTGTTAAAAGAAAATAGAAGACTACTTTGAAAAAAACATTTGTCAATATCTTTTTATTTGTTAATGTCATGTTTTGTATGTGTGGGTTTGTGCTGATACGGGGACTTAAATACAGGACCTGAACACTGCCTCTTAGTTTTTTTCTCTCATGGCTGGCACTCTACCACATAGGCCACAACTCTACTTCCAGTTTTTTAGTAGTTAATTGGAGATAAGAGTCTCATAGACTTTCCTGTCTCCGCTGGCTTAAAATGGCAATCCTCAGATCTCAGCCTCATGAGTAGCTAAGATTATAGGCATAAGACAGGAGTGCCAGCTGAAAAAATACTTTATTTTTAGGTAAATATTCATTTCAAGATTAAATTATTTTACAAATGTTTTAGAGGTAGGTGCCTAGGGAGAGGGGTGTGAGGGAAACTTTTACCATACAATCTTAGGTGTTTTCTAAATTTTGAGCCATGTAAATATTACATACGCAAAAATATAAATACAATTTTATATGAAAGTAAAATACTCCTATTTGGAAAGAAAATTAAAATGTCCTACATAATAAAGAATGGTTAAGGAGGAACCATACTTGCTGTGACTGGGGGTCAAGAGGAAGTTAGTTAATAAATCATACTCCCTTGATCTCAAACTACTTGTTAATCCAAATTAATAGATGTTTTGTTTTCCTTTAAATTCTGGGGTTGGAGCATGGTAATCTACCTCCTCGCTCTCCCAGCTTTCCCCAAAACAGATCTTCTCTAGCAAGACTTTTTCTCCCACTTCTCAAATCCTATTAACACTAATCAGCATAATGATTAAGCATATTGTGGTTAAGTACTCTCCTTGATAAGGGTTCCTTTGGAAGAAAGGTTCCCATAGCGACAGGTAAAAGCTATCACCAAAGTCAGCTTTTCAGTATAGGAGTTGGTGTCACAGAGCCTAGAGTTAAGAACGCTTCTGTATGAATGTGGAGGCTTCCTTTTTGAACTTCACCTGACTTTGTCCATTCAAAAAGACCCTTAAGGGAGAATCCCCCCATAAACCACCATAGAAGGGGAGAGGTAGTTTGTGCAGGGGAACAGAGAAAAGACAAAAAGACCTCAAAGACAAGTTATTGTTCTTGCCACCAAAATTGCACTCTGCAGAGGAAAACAGTCACTACAAAGAGTAATGGCATTAAGATAGCAGTTGAGTCCCCTAATGTATAAGCACTCCTGTCCTCACTGCTGGAGCTGGTCAGTTTCTAATCTAGTTTCACTTTCTTCAAGCTGTAGAACAGCTGGCTTTCCAGCTGGCTGGGGGTGGGGGGAGGGTGGGATGGGGGTGGGAGGGGGAGTCTTTAAATAAACAGCACTTTAAAATATGCAATCACTTTGGCTGTATTGAATTTTGTAAACTGCCTTCCTCTAATATGTGACTCTGGGTGCCAACTTAAAACTACCCTAAAGAATGTAAAGTCCCTAAGGAATATACCTTTGTCTATGTGTAACAATCCCAAGCACACTAAACATTGGAAAAGAAGAAATCTTTTTCTTCTTTCTTTCTAATGCTAGCCACTGCGTCTATTCAATAAGGAATGGTCTTAAAAACATGTATATAAGAAAACAACAAGACAGAGTATAGTTACCAAAAATATGTAAAATGCAGGACTATTTGCAGCACAAGACACTCTTGTAACATGGCACAGAGTGCTAATCCCTGAAAGGTCTTCTAACTCTTTTTCCTCATCTTTCCACAGAAGACATATGTGTGTAATCAAATAATTTTACTCAACTCTTTACATGATACACATTAAATCTTTTAAGTGCCCCTCTAACAGACACTGCTATGCCAGCAAAGCCACTATCTGTCAGTTAAAATAAGCTGTTTATGAAGGTATGCATAGAAGCCCTGCATTCATAGTCTCCAGGCGTGTGCCAATTATAAAATACAATATAACCCTCCAAATAGAACCTCATCTCCAAGTCCTACCAGCTCCAACACACTTGGAGATGACCTCCCTAGGAGCCACACCTCTAGAGCAGAGATATACTCAGAGCTCAAAGTGGCTAAACAAAGTAACAATTCAACCTGAGTTGCTCAATAGCACACACCACAATGACAGTTTCCAAGTGCCAGTTTCCCTATTTTGCAATGGACAGATCTGCTCCAAGGAGAAAATGTTCCCAATGACCCTGTGGCCCAGAGGGTTTTCTGTAGAACAGAAAACAGAAAATGAATTTGTTAGCTATTTCCTGCTGAGCACAAGGAAGGTGTTGTGGTTAGTTAGGATGACTTTGTTTCCTTAGTGAATATACCATTATCATACATGTTTTCTTTAACCACACAGTAGAAAAGAAGACAATGCAGTTTATTTTCTTTTGTCACATTATCACTAATTCCACAAGTCTTTTCTCATGAAAATACATTTAATTTCTAATCCCCTTATATAAAGCTCCCCCAAACTGACACTGATCTAAAGCAAAACCCTTTGATATTCTAACATATTTACTGCCATACACATTCCTGCTCCTGGATAACTTATGATGTGTGAGGGCCTTCCCCATTCTCCATGATTACAGTCCTAAATTTATCTTTCTGAGAACTGTACTACACATAAATAATATGATTTGACTGTAACCTAAAAGCTGGCTATATTTCTGACCCTCAAGTCTTTCATGATCTCGGCATTCAACTGTTAAATTATTAAATGCTCGCTAAAACAAACAAGGACAATTTATAGGGCATATGGGGTAGGGAAAAAGAGAAAGGAGGAAGAGAGGAACAAGGGGTAGAAAAGCCCATCACTCTATAGGATTATCTGACAATGACTATCAGCTCTTCTGAGGCCCACATTTTAGGGATCCTGTGGAGATGTATGCTGTGCATATTCAGGAGAAATTCACCAACAACCAAAACAGAAGCTGTCCTTGGACAAGGTTCAATAAATGTTTTTACTATCTATTTCCCGCTGCACAATACAGTTCCCCCACTCCCCCAAGGGATCGTAGATAAAATACTTAATAGAATAAAAAAAAATCAGAAATTCTTAACTGGTCTTAACTTGTCATCATAAAACATTTTAGAGCATAAAAACCAACATTAAGGAATAGTGAAAAATATTCCTTAGAATAATGTCAGAGCCCAAAACTGCTGTTATCCTTAAAGGTTTTTTTTCTCTCTCTTTCCTGTCAAGATTCTTCTCATTAAAGTGATCACATATTAACATAGTGCCTAGATAGAACTCCCACAACTAAACTCTTAAAAATTTGCCTCTTGAAGGAGTGGAAGAGGAAAACTCCCAAATTCAAAAGCATTGATCTACAAAGATGAGAGATGCAAAACTTCCAATATATATATTACAGCTTTGTAGATGTAATACTCAAGTCCACTAACACTACCCAGAATCAGCTGGTAAACTGGTAACCATACCAACTTCTATGAGAGTCCAGGACAACCAGTACAATTCGTAATTACACAGTTGAGATCCACACCAAATACCACAGATCCAGCCTCAAGTAGACAAAATGAAGACCAATATAAGCACAGGATAGGCTAACACATAATACTCCAGTGAGGAGACAATTCAGCTAAACATCTCTTACTGAGAAACAGTGGATTTGGGGACAAGAAGGAAAAGGCTTAAACTGTGATGTGATGAAGATTGGTTTCTGACATGGGAGACCTCCATTCTTGGCTGGACAGATGGATAGACTTTTGCTGTTTTATTTCTCGTCACCTGCATTCCTGTGCAGCACCCAACATAATGAAGATAGATGCGGGGATACATCCTGCCAGGAACATGTCAGAGCTGAACTCAGAATATTCAGCACGACTGACTTAGTTTTTCTTCTTCCCCTTCTTCTTCTTCCTCTTCTTTCTCCTCCTCTTCTTCTCCCCCTCCTCCTACTCTGCCACTTTCTTCTTCTTCTTCTTCTTCTTCTTCTTCTTCTTCTTCTTCTTCTTCTTCTTCTTCTTCTTCTTCTTCTTCTTCTTCTTCTTCTTCTTCTTCTTCTTCTTCTTCGTTCATCATCATCATCATCATCATCATCACCCAAAGACCAAGTAAGATCCTCCAGAACCTGCTAAAAAAGGTGTCCGTTCTCTTGTCCTAGAGGTTAAGAGGAAGCTGTGCTACCCGCATAGCAAAGACAGGCGATCACGACCCGAGAGGGGGGAAAGAAAAATCCGGAGCCACATGGAGGGCGAAAAAACAGTAGCAGAAAAAAGTCCAACTCTGCCTGCGCCAGCGGTGTGTATGAGCAGAGCAGCGAGCCCGAGAGGAGGGAGGGGGCGGGGGCGATCATTCCCTAGGAGAACTTGTAAGCGGAGGCCTTCACGGCCTGGGAAGCAGCCCAGCCGCTCCCGCAGACCCTGCCAGCCTGGGCCGGGCAGGCCCTCGGGAGCGGAGCGGCCAGGCCTCCGAGGGTCACTCCTGACTCACCGAGCCTCGGGCTGGCACCGCCGGACCTCTCCGTTTTTGTTTTTTGTGGGTTTTTTTTTTTCTTCTGCTACTGGGCTATGATGGCAGCTGTCCAATCCCACATGCCATACATCAGCCGCAGATCCCTGCTGGCACACAGGCCGGCGCCTTCCCCCGCCCCTGGCACACTTTGAGCCTCATTCTACTGCTCCCCATCCCCAACCCTCACCCACCCGTGCCAGGCACCCTGCCCAGGGGCAGCTCCCTCCCCCCCCCCAACCACAGTCCCCGGGCCCCAGCGGCCGGACGCTGCCAGGGCCTGGGCACCTGCAGCACCTCTCCGCCCCACCCCCATTCCCCACCACCTCCCCTCCCCCCTCCGCCGGCAGAGGGAGGGGGCAACTCACCGCAGTCAGTGCACAGGATCTTGCCCACCTCTTTCTTGATGTTTTTGCCGTTGGTGCCAAGGGGGGCAAAGGCCGTCTTAAAGACTAAGGGCTGCTCGGTGGGCTCCAGGAAAAAGATGTAGCGCTGGTTCCTCTCGAGCGGCGCGCAGGAGCCCACGCTGATCACCTGCTCGCGCTGCAGCCCCCCGCTCCGGAGCGGCCACTTGTCCAGCACCTTCACCAGCGCCACCCGACCCGAGGCGGGCGGCTCACGGGTGCTGTTGGAGCCGGAACCGCCGGCCGGGGCCAGTCCCTGGACCTTGCCCTCCACCACCACGGGTGCCTTGTACGCCTGGTCCTGCACGGACTTGAGGCTGGGCGAGTAGCAGGCGAGCGACACCCCGAAGAGCAGCATGGAGAAGCCGGGGGCCGGGTCGCGCCTCATGCCGCCGGCGGCTGCGGCTCGCGAGCGGGCGGCGGCTTTCCGGGCTGCGGGGAAGCGGGGCTGCGGCGGTGGCTGCGGCCGCGGCTCTGGGGGCGCAGCGGGACGGGAGATGCTGCTGCTGCTGCCGCCGCCGCTGCTGCTGCTGCTGCTCCTGCTGCTGCTGCTGCTCTCGCTGCTGCTGCTGCTGCTGCTGTCGCTGTCGCTGCTGCACCGAGCCTTCTCCAGTGGCGGCGGCGGCGGCAGCGCTGAGCAGCAAACCTGCCGCATCTGGCCAGGCCATTTGGGGGGCTCCGCCGCTCAGCCGCCGCCGCCTTGGGAGGGGAAACAGAGCCCTCTGGAAAACCGGAAACAGCGTAACGTTAGCGCCTTCGAGTCCTCCGCCGGCGGTCCGGGGAGGTGGCCCTGCGAGGGCAGGGGACCGGCGGCAAGTGGGCCGCGATGCGCAGCGCGGCGCAGCGCAGCGCTCCCTCCCTGCGCGCCGGGGCTCGGAGGAGGCTGCGGAGGATGGGACGCCCGCCCACTTGCTCTCTCGCGCCCCCTCTGCCCCCCGGACCGAGTGGGGAGCGTGGCTTCTGCAGGGGAAGCTTGGGACTGCACTGCTTTAGTGCCCGCCTTCAGCCCGCAGGGGAGGAATCGTGCCACCCTCGGCTCTTGGGATTTCTGGGCAGCATGACAGTGGGGGGCCGAGCGGGGGGGGGGGGGGGTGAGACGGTGGCGGGGAGCGAGCGGCTCCTCGCCGCATCCTGGGATCGTAGGAGTGGGACACAGGGCGTTCCCCTTGCCGGGGGTCATCAGCTGTGGTACCAGGGAGGGTGCCAGAGCCGGGATGACGCTCCAGCTTCTCGACCCCTTTCCCAAGAAGGACCCTAGAAGCGCCATCTCTCTCCCACCCTTCTCCCTCCACCCCCATCCCGCCCGACCATGAGCCCCCTGTGCCCCGCCTGGCAATCTCTGGATGTTTGAGATGGGGTGGGGGAGGATTACAGCCCTGTTGTTTTGTAAAGGGTTGGGGTTACAAGGAGTTTTGCCTCAACGTTGAGAACACTTAAAAATCAACCAGAGGTGGTGGATTGGGACAGGTTCCAGTCCCCCCAAAACTCCCGGCTCTTTCCCCAAGCATCATGCTACCCAACCCCATTTTCTTTTTAAAAATCAGTTCTCACCGGAACCAGTGGAGAGACAGAGACTGTCAGGGCCAGAGACGGCTTCATAGATATGGTCTGGTGCCTGCCAAAAGCAGAAGAGTTTGCTCCACTGAAGCCAATGCCGGATTGAATACATAAATGACAGACAGACAGACAGACAGACAGACAGACAGACAGACAGACAGACAGACAGACAGATAGATAGATAGATAGAGTTAGCATTTTAATCTTTGAATGGTGTCAAGCTCAGGGATGGTAGCAAGATTTTTGAGGATTTTGTTGCTGGATGGGCCCTACAAGAAACTGGCCCAAGGATCATCAGATTAAAGAGTGATACTTGGGAAAGGAAAGAAAGACCTAGAAAGACACCTCAAAATATATATCCTAAGCTAAAGTATTATTTCTCCCCTGAATTCTGGATTCCCTATCTTTACTAATGGCACCATTTTATACTTGGCCAATTCTTCCCAGCATTCTTCCCCCCAAATCCCTTAGTCTCATCTCTTATATTCCCCTCACCCAGCCAATTATCCAGTCCTTTGACTCTTCCTTTCAAAATCTTTATCTACTTCCTCTTCAACTCTGCTACACATATCCACACATTTTGCCCCCTTATCCAGTTCTACTACTGCCAATGTGTGATCTTTCTAAAAAAATAAAGTAAGTAAAATGATGTGACCACAGCATTGCTGTAAGGATTAAAGTCTAAACTCTTTATCAAGGCTCTGCCTAGGCTCCTTTTGATTAGTTAGTCTCCTATTCTGAGAGCCAGCCTCTTCTCCTAGCAATACTCAGCACATTCTGCTGTTACTCCATGTGCTTCTGCACATGGTGTCTGGAGTCCAGGAAGCATCATTTCTACCTTCACATGGAAAACTACTCCTTTGCTATGCCCAGCTCAGAATTATACCTCATCTCTTGCCCCTTCATGCATATTCACCACTACGCCCACCACAATGCACATACATGATGGGATTCATGTCTTCCTCCTGTGTGTTACCAGGGGTCTCGAATATATTACTATTATGGCATTGACTCACATAGTACTTCAAGCAACTGTTATTGGAACTCCATCTCTCATTTATTAAAGTCAAGGACTACTTTCTATGTCTTTAGATCATGATTACATGTAACACCATGCTGGCATCAAATAAAAGCAGCAGATCTTCAGAGAAGGGAAGAGATGAAGAAGACATTAACTGATAGCAATCTTAAAGATACCAAGCCAACTCTGATGATCCCTTCCTGACTCCTTTCATTTTCATAGATCCCCTAAATCACTAAATATAGCTATAGAAAAAGATAGATAACTTGTACTCTCTTTTTTCAATTAAAAAAAATGTCCCAGGGAGGAAAGGAGACTTGTGGTCACAGGCAGCCAAGAATGTACTCTGTCTTCTGTTTCTGAGGCCAGATAAATAAAGAACATTATTATTTCTTCACCTTTTGAGTCAAATAGAGATAGGTTTTTCAATGATTTGCAACTTGTTGACTTTAGAATATGTCTATCTCTTGAGGCCTCAGTTTTCTCATCAGAAAAATGGAGAATAGTATCTACCTCAGACAGATGAAGTTTGCTCATGATGGACTTATTCACTAAGTAACTCAACTCCTGGCTTATCCAGGCCGAAACACCTATACTTGTCACTGGGTGACACTATCACTGTTCTTAAAGCTCCTACTCTGGTTAGGGAGTCCACAGTAAACAAGTAGACAAATAGGTAACTAAGTGCTTCCAGTGATGAGCATTCTGCAGGAAATGATTCAGGATGAAACGATAGAGAATAATGGAAAGGGAGAAGGGAGGTCACCTTGGATAAAGAGAGGCTTCTCTGGGAGATAACATTTAAAGTGAGATTGGAAGGATGAGAAAGACGTGACTGATAGGAGATAATATGTATAATGCACTTAGAACAATGTCTGGCACAGAGCAAATACTAAAATCTGATGTTGGCTCTGATTGATAGTTGATTTATACCATAGATTTCCAACCAAAGAGTTGAGAATCTTGACATAGTATGTAGTTATTGCACACTAGATTTTTCTATATATTAAAAATGCAGGGTTCTTGATATAGTTATTCAATTAGTGGTAGAGTACTTTACCTAACGTGCACAAGGCCCTGGGTTTGATTCCCAGCACCAAAAAGAAGAAAGAGGAGGAGGAAGAGGAGGAGAAGGAGAAGAAGAAAGGAAAGAAAAGAAATAAGATTTCTAATGTTGATGCCATGGTAAATAAAAATATTCATTCTCAGGGCTGGGACTGTGGCTTAGTGATAGAGTGCTTGCCTAGCATGCATGAAGCCCTGGGTTTGATTCTTCAGTCCCACATAAACAGAAAAGGCCAGAAGTGGTGCTGTGGCTCAAGGGGTAGGGTTCTAGCCTTGAGCAAAAGAAGCTTAGGGACAGGGACAGTGCCCAGGCCCTGAGTTCAAGCCCAGGATTAGCAAGTATATATATATATATAAATCTTGGGTAATTTAACCTCAGGTATGGCAACCTTCTTCTAAAGAAAAAAGAAAAACTTCTTTGTGTGTGTGTGTGTGTGTGTGTGTGTGTGTGTGTGTGTGTGTGCATGTGTGCACGTAAGCATGTGTCACTTCTAGGACTTGAACTCAGAGCCTGGACACTCAAAGCTGGTGCTCTATCATTTGATCCACACCTCTTTTTCCAAATTTCTGCTGGTTAATTGGAGATGAATCTCATGGGCTTTCCTGCCCTGTCTGGCTTCAAACCATGATCCCCAGATTTCAGCCTCCTGAGTTAGGATCACCAGTGCCTGGCTCAAAAACCTCTTTTTTTTTTTAAGCACATTTTTTTAAAAAGTACAAGATGTGAAGTTTAAAAATAAGGGAGAGGAGAGGATGTTTTACCAGACAGGCTACCAGTTCTCTCTTGTTAAAAAAAAAAAAAGATAAATATGTAAACGTTTGTAGTACATAAATTACCTTTGCAAGAACAAAGCAGAAATTGAGACACTACTTGGCTCTGGGGAAGTGAGTGTGAGACTGAGGGATGAGGAAGGATACTTTCATTTTATTCCCTGTTGTCTCTTGTGAATTTTGTCTCAAGCTTATTGTGCCACCTATTTAAAAAAATAAAGAGGATGCTTACATTTTTTACTATGTTGAATTTTTATTATGCTTCTCCCCCCCTTATTGAAAGACTACTTAAACCAGAGCAACTATTTTACAAGATTTCTTGAAAATTTTTAACTTTAAAATGAGATTATATAGTAAGGCACTGGTGACTCGTGCCTATAATTCTAACTGCTCAGTAGGCTGAGATCTGAGAATCTCTGTTTGGTGCCAACCAGCGTCAGGCAAGTCCATGAGACTGTTCATCTCCCATTAGCCGCCAAAAAGCTAGAAGTAAAGCTGTATCTCAAATGATAGAGCAGCACCAACCTTGAGTAAAAAAGCTATGGCCGGGCCCTAAGTTCTGGCACAGTACTGGTACACATACACGCGCACGCATGCGCACGCGGGCACACACACACACACACACACACACACACAGATCCTTCTGCTAAACAGTACTAGAATTATTTTTCTATAAAAATGTTCTATAAAATGTTCAGAATGTCTTAGAATGAGAAGGAATGCTCTTAGATTTCAATAGTCTGATAGAACACCACTAGAATTCTTGTAACCACAGAAGGTGGAAACATAAGCAGATATCTAAAGGAAATGACAGCACCTATCTGATTTTCCTCAAGGTGATATATATATATCTATATATATATCTATCTATATAGATATATATATATGGATAAGCTTCCAGAATTAGCTTTTGCCATTTAGTGTAGAAGGAGAGGGCATTTAGTATCTAAGAGCAGCCCAATTCCATACTGGCCTCTTCCTGGAGTTCAACATGAATTAGTAGCATGTCTTAGGGAATATGACCTTATGCTCTGAATCTTCTACCTTTACATCATACTTCAATAATTGATAATAAAAATGGTAACAGCCACCATTTATTAGTTGTGTATTCTGTGTTGGGAGCTCCATGATTATTGTTTCTATCTTTCAACAATGTTGCATCTTATAAAATAAAAAGACTATTGGGTACCAGTGCCACATGCCTATAATCCTAGCTATTCAGGAGGTTAAGATCTGAGGATTGAAGTTCAAAGCCACTCTTGGAAAGGAAGTCCATGAGACTCTTAGTTCCAATTAACCTACACACACACACACACACACACACACACACAAAAGCAAGAACTGAAGCTATGGCTCAAGTGGTAGAGCTCTGGTC